AATCCTTTCTATGCTGTTTCCTAGATTCTTCTGTGACCTTTCACATTCCTTGCCTTGGAACTGCTTAACTCTCATCTCTGACTCTGTTTTCATATGGCCTTTGCTTAGAAGGGCACTTATGGGATTTGGGGCCCACCCTAATCCCAGAAATCTGCTCTCTGGATTCTTACCTCATTTATACCTGTGAAGACTATATTTCCATATAAGGTCACTGTCATAGGTTTTGGGTAGACATTATTTTTGCAGAGTCTACAATTCTACCCACTACAGGAAGTAACAGAAGACATGATTACATTATATAGTCAACTCATATCTCTTTTTTGGGGAAGGGGTGGAAAATACCATGCTGAGTATTATAGATGAGATTTCTTCCTTTCTGTATTCTGAGAGTTAATACCTTTTCCCTAAATAGAAGCTCAGTAACAGATGTCTGCTTTCACTGTAGGAATTGTCAAGGAACATAGCCAAGGGGAAGCAGTGCTAATATTTTTACTGGGGAGATTATAAATGACTCTCTGAGAAGAAAAAATATGTATGCTGTTGGATGGACAGATTACAAGAGAATTTTTTTATTATGGTTATGTTTTATTTTTTTAATCCCAGTTTTAATGTCTTTCCTGTTTTATTGAGGCATATTGATTTATATTTTATTAGTTCTGGGTGTGCAACATGATGATCTGATAGTTGTCTAAATTGTGAAATATCACCACAGTAAAGCTAGTAGTTAGCATCTGCCATTATACATAGATACAAAATTTTCTTGTGATGAGAATTAATGTCTGTCTTTAAATAAAAAAGCCTCCCAAATGTTCATCCATGGAAAACAAACCTCTCCTGTAATAATCTATTTATTTTATTTAAAAAGTCAGAAATAGGGCCTCCCCGGTGGCACAGCGGGTTGAGAGCAGCTCTGTGAAGCTGTCCACAGCCTCTGCAGCGCTGGTTACGTTCTGCCTGGCCAGGGAGATTCCCACATGGCGAGACAGACCTTTCCTGTCTCACCTGCTGCTCCCCTCAGCAGTGTACTTTGGTCTTTCTATCTGTTCTGCTCCCTGCTCTGTCTCTGGTGAATTCTCTCACCCTCCCGTGCCTCTGGCCAGTACCCCAGGGCTTGTATAAATGAATCTTTTTTTAAAAAAGAAGTCAGAAATAAGAATGACAGAATATTAACTTTTTCATTCTTGGTGGCTTTTAAGTTCTGTAGCTTTCTGTATTTTTATCGTTGAAAAGTTAATTTGATAAATTTCCCATAATTAATAAGAGACATAATGCCATTTACTTCTTGAGATAATTACTTTTCATTATGAACCTAGATTTCTAAGCCATAAGATAGTTGTATTCCTATCTAGTCTGGTTAAAAAAAAAAACAAAGTGACATTATTCTAAGAAAAGAAGTGTGATTACCCCATTGTTATGTCTATTTAGAGAACAACTTAATGTAGTATGGGAGGGTCCCTGCAGCAAGGCTGGCAGGTTTGGGCTTGAGTGAGTGTGGTGCTGTGCTTACTATGCTAAAAATATCTAATTATCACAGAGAAAATACCTTTGTGAAGAAGGTCTCAAGCGCTTCTCCCAAAGGCCATAAATATCCAATGTCATCATATAAAAAGCTGATAAATCTATGCTGCATCTGTAAATAACATTTATATTTTATATTTTACTCACTTTTTCCTTTTTAACTTTGAACCTTCCTCTCGTATGGCCAAAGTCACATGATTATAAAGACAGATCTTAAGAAATCCATCATTCTCTTCATAATGAGGAAAAGGAAACTCTTAAGGTTAAATAAATAACCAAACAAGAAACAACTAGTGACAAAAGCCAGGGTTCAGTGCACAATTCTATAGTTAAATAATTTATTCAAAATTGATCCAGGAATATTCTATATGTTGAATGAAATAACAAAAAATAACTGTCTGATGTCATTTCCATCATTTTCCCCCAAAGGCTTGCTTAACAAATGGTTTATGGTTCTAAAGCTAAAAAATTCTCTAGCTTGTCAATCTTTGTTTTCAAAATTTTAGCTCATGCAATTGAATAATTAAAAACAGTACACACACACAAATTAAAAACAAGAAGATATTGTAGGAACTTCAGTAAACCACCTACTCAAAAATCTTTTTGCTCCTGTTTCATTATACTGGCTGAAATTAGCCTATTTGTTTAATGTTTAATCTAATTTCTCCATGCAAATTTTGCACTTTCAAGTTGAGAACAGTGGTTCAGCAGTGAGCGAAAGACCACTCTTTATACTTTATCCAAATCAATAGAAATGTTAAGTCAATTATCAAAATACCTAAAATTACTTTTTGTCAGTTGTGACTCATTCCACTGAATCTCACTTCAAGAATACAAATCAGTTTCACCTGCCACATCTCATTTCCTTCACAATGACAACCTCCAGCAAGTGTTGGAGAGGCTGCAGAGTCAAACAAATCCTGTTATACTATTGGCAGAGATGTAAATTGGTACAACTATTATAGAAAGCAGTCTGGATTCACCTGAAAAATTATAAGTATTGAAATACCATCTGATCCAGCAATTGTACTCTTGGACATATTTTCAAATATGATAGAATAGGAAGCCATCAACACAAAAATTTATATGTTCCACTGTTCATCACAGCATTGTTTACAATAGGTAAGACACAGAAGCAACTTAAAATTAATGCCCACTGATGGATGGACTATTGGGATCCAGAATGTGGTATATCCACACTATGGAGCATTATGAAGCCATAATGAAAGAGGAAATGCAGCATTTTCAACAAAATGGAGGGAGATTGAGAAAATTATATGTAGTAAAGCAAGTCATAAGGACAAAAATAAACAATGGACATTTACACTCGACTTTGCTCCTGGAATACACTTCACGTGACTCTCTGGCCTTGCTGGCCTGTCTTCTTGATTGTTATTTCTCACCTTGGCTAACTCATTCTCTTCTTCTGAGTCTTGATTCAGGTTTTTCCTGCCAGTGGGTGCTCTCCCATGTGTTCCCATGGTACCCCATAGTGTCCAGTTCACAGCACTTGTCACCATTTATGACAATACCGTTTGAATACTTATTTGCCTGGTGTCACATAGTCTTTATTAAATTAAAAAATAGTTAAATTTAGATAGTTAAATTTAGATATTATAATTCCATCTGTTGCTTTCATGTTCACTTTTTAAATATGAATACAGTCAAGAGAGGTTACATAACTTGCCGAAGATCATACAGTTTGTAGATAGTGGCATGAGAATTTGAGGGCAGGTACGATTGACTTCAAAATGTGTTTTCTTAAGAACTGTACCTGTGCCTTTCTCCAGACTGTAATCAGGTGTCTCTATCTTCTACAGACTCAACATTATGACCTTGCCTGCCTCTTGGGCACTGTATCACGCTGTCTGGTGGCTGCCTGGTACATAGCAGGTGCTCAAAATTATTTATTCAATGAATATGGCTGAATGTGAGTAAATAATTTGTTGGCCTGATTCTCCTCCTGAGAGGAGTGGGTGCTGGATTGTATAACACGCCTGTTATAACAAAATGTCCTGAACAAATATGGATACAAAGTCCCAAATAGAATTTCTCTGCACCTAAGTCAGAGATCTTTCCAATCCAGGTGCTTTCGTGTCCAGGGAACCTGGCGTGGTTGCGTTTGTTTTGTAATACTTACAAATAACCCCGAATGTAGAGCGCGCCGTGTTGCCTAGCAGGCCTCTCCACCTCCAATTCTCTATACTCTACAACCTGGAGAAGAGGTTGACGCGGGAAGCGTTCTCCATGGCTGCAACCCTGCTTAGTCAGCACCCTCGCCAACAGGCAGAATGAACAAGTCAAGGAAGAGCCGGGCATGCATTTCCTCCCGACTCTTTTTGTAAGCGACAGAGGATCCTTATCACAGAACGAAGCAAGACAGACATACAGACAGCCCTAAACCAACATTACCAGTGAACCCCCAACCCGTCCTAGTTGGGCGAAGACCAGGACGGCTAAAGGAGGTCAGCTGTTTTAAAAACGCTGTCAGCAAAATGCCGAGCCGTCTTCAGAAATGTTCTCTGCCCACGTGGATCGTGCAGACGCTCATTCCTAAGCAGCCGAGAAACCTGCAGCCGGGGAGGCCGGCCGCCCCACGGGGAATAAACCGGCACCTCTAGAAATAAGGCTCCGCAACCAATGCGGCGCTTCGGCCGGCGGGATTGGCAGCCTCGGCCGTGACGTGGCCTGGGCGGGCAGGGTCGGCTTGCGACGGGGGCCGCGGTCCCGGCCGGGGGAGCCGAGGGGGGACCCGCAGCTCGGCGCCGGGCTCTCCGCCAGTTGGGAAAGCCTCTCCCTTCCCCGCGCGCGTCGCCGGCGCCCCGAGCCGCGGCCCGGAACCCCCGAGCGGGCGTGGGCCCCGGGCCCCGCGGAGCCCAGCGCGGCCGCGACTCCTCGGCGTGCGGGCGGCGGGGGACACCGAGGTTTGGCCTGCGGGCGCGGGGCGTCTCCCGGGAGGGGGCCGGGCGGTCCAGGGCCGGGGCGGGATTCTCTGCGCGGCGGCTGCCCGCGCGGCTGCCCGGCGGGGGGCGCGAGGCGAGCCGGCGCGCGGGCGGAGGCGACCCGCGAGGGGGATCCAGGTTGCTTGGCGCGGCCGCGCCCGCGACCTACGGGGTGCGCGGGGCTCTGGGCTCTGCTCCCGCAACTTCACTTTTCCTGTCACCGGGGCGAGGGGGGCATGGAGAAGGGAGCGGAGGGCTTGGACGGGGGCCTGTTGGTAATGCCTGCTGCTGCGAAAACTTCTTCCCTGCCTGGGCGTGAAGGTATACGCGCGCGCTGAAGAAAATTTAGAAAGCGTGAGAAATTACTGTGTAAAGAAATGGGGAGTGGGGGTGGGGAAAAGGGGGGGTCCAGGGGGAATCACGTGTTGCCCCGGGGAGAAGGGGAAGCCGATTCGCTCCGCGAGCTGCAGCGCCCGGCGGACCGTGCGGCCGAGGATCCGGCGGGCTCAGCCGAGCGCCGAGATTTGGGGAAGTGGGAGCCGCAGGGGCCGGGCGGCCCGCGGAGAGCCCGCCACGCGCTGTTTGTTTCCTTTCACTTCCTGCGGCAGCTGCTCAAGATGAAGAGCGCGGGGCTGGGGCGCAGCGGCCTCGTCTCCTGCATCTGAGCGCTCACCACCCACCCCGGCCGCCGCCGGGACTTCCCAGCCCCACCTGGGTTTCAGCCATGAGTGCTTGGTGAATAAACCGGCGGCGTTGGGAGTCGCGGACCTGAGACCGCGGGAGGTAATGCTGGCTCGGTTTTGAGTGGCCTGGGGAAAGTGAAGAACCCCCCCACCCCCCAAAATGGAGGACTTTTCAACCAGGACCTACGGCACCAGTGGCCTGGACAACAGACCTCTGTTTGGAGAGACGTCGGCAAAGGTGAGTGCGCCGGGATTCCGGGCCCTGGGTGTGTTTATTTGTCTGTTTCTCTGCTTGTCTGCCCTATGGCCTGGAGTCCCCGCCGGGCCCGTCTGTGTTTCCTGAGGCACTTGGTGGAAGAAAGAGCCGGTTCTTCAACTCCGCTTCCCACTCAAGATATTTGCCCTGCCACTCGTCACCTTCTTTGGGGCCGGGCTGGCCCACAGCCTTGAACACCGGTAGTGAAGAAAAGTTCAGAAAGTTCTGGGCTGTTGGGGATTTACAGGGAAGAGCAGAGGCCTCTCTTTGGAGGGAAGGTGTACTATGGTCAGGTGGTACAAGCACCGGTGGAGCTGGAGTGCTCAGGTTCAAGAGGCTTCACTTGGGTGCTAGAGGCCTCCTTGGGAACCATAGAGCTGTACTGCTGATCGCTGTTTATTTAGGGCCGTGAAGAGTTTACTGCTGAGGCAGCCAAGCAGAGAAAAAGGAGAGAGACATGAAGTGAGGGCTGCCTTGATGGTGCCCCAGTCCAGGAAGTGATCAGAGACACTCTGGACCCAGATAAGCTCTAGTACATTATTTTCGGCTTTTTAAAAGTATAACTTCTTTTTACAAACTTAATCATGTGATGTCCTGAGCCAACAGTTGAAGAGCACCCCTTTCCTGTCCTCAACATTAACTTGAAGTAGTTTGCACAAGATTTAGACTCTTCGGTGGTTTTGTTGTTTCCCCACCTAGAAAGTGACATTGGTGATCTTTGACATCCGAAAGTACTTTCAGCTTTTCACAAAGTCAGGTGTAAATGGGTTCCTGAGCTGCCTGAGTTTCTCCGCTTTGACAGGGCCCTCTAACAGAAAAAGGATAGGGCACTTGTACACCTAGTACTTTGGGGCATAGCCTTGAACTTGTACCCTGCAGGTCTGTGACAAACTGCTGCTTTTTTTTTTTTTTTTTTTTTTACTTGCCTTTCATCTTTTCAAAGTGTCTTACTAAGAAAATGTTTTAAGCTTGAGCTCTAAGATGGACCATGTTATCTAATGGCTTGGCATAATCCCACTCCAGAGGACACTTGGTTTGAGAAACATGGCTCTGGTTCAGAGCATTATGTGGTAGATCTGGGGAGTCCGAGGAGCCCAGCAGAAATATGTAAACAGGTGCCCTTGTATCTGTGCCACCACAGGCGTTTAAAGAGGCATCTCAGGATACAGCAGAGAAACTAGTAACTTCCCTATGAGAAGTTTGGGAAAGACCTTACAGGATAGCTTTTCCATTTGGTCTGTGGTGCTTTAGACTTTCAGATGTGAGTGTCCCTAAATTGGAGTTTTACTGGAAGAGGATTTGGGGAGTAGAAGGCAGCTTTGCCGCCTGAAGAGGTCACATCCAGGGCAACTGGCTGCTCCACTGCCCCAGAGCTAAGAGGTTCACTTTTGCTCCCACATGCCTTGGGACACAAATTGGGGTTCCAGGTGGTATAGACTTCTGATCCCTTTTGTTGCCAAATGCAGAGAAGATGACTTGGTAATGGACTTGTTGATTTTTATAGATACTTAGAAATATTGATGTTTTCTGACTAGCTTGGGCTGAAATATTCAATGACTGTAAATTTCTGTGATCTATTTGAAACCTATACATTCTCCAAATGTATCTCTGTTTATTGCACACTTATTTAGTCCAAGAGTTTATATTGTTACTTAGGCAACTATGGCATTATAAGGATAGATTCAGTTACTCGGAGAAAAAGTTAAGAGTAACACATAATTCCAGATCTCTCAAAATTGCTCCCTTTATCTCCCTGTGAGGATCACAGGATGATTACACATGGAGGAATTGTTTAGAATGAAGAAAAGATATATCTCTGGTCTGAGGATGGAAGAAAGTATCATATTTATCATAAATTGAGATGCCAGGTCTGAAGGAGAGGTCTTGACAGCAAACGATTTTATTTGAGACCCAAGGTGGAAGGCAAGGCACAGTAGTGGATCTTAATAATGAAGGGTTAGGACACATGACAGGGGAGGCTTTGCCATAGTGGAGTCACTGGTTGAACAGGATGGGTTCCGGAGATCCCTGAGGAACCTTTGCTGGCTCGGGGATGTGGATGTTCCCAGCTGGCTCTGTTTCAGATGCCTGGAAACTGGGCACAACAGCCAGTCTTAGTGAACTACCACTTTGGAGGAAAATATCCAGAAAAAGGAAAACCTATTCCTGTCATACTTCTACAGTTCTTTGGAACTTTTAGTAATAGTATAATGCCTTAAAACAACTGGCCATATATAGCTTCTTAATTTTAAATCAGTAGAGCAGACCAGAGCCTTTAAGGACGGTCCCTAACTGTTAAGCAAAAATTACTTCAGCCCACAGAGTAGGATCTGGAGGGAAGTTTGTGTTTCCTCAGTGCCAGGTACCACGGAAGACTTTCAGCTGTTTTCAGCATTTCCTTGTTTGATATCGAATTCCTTTGTAAGACTGGTCTTGTTGTTCCTATTTTACAACTAGGGGAGTTGAACCTTAAAGCAGACTACTTGTTCTGCCCCACAACTCCTCCTTTTGTAATGTTTCGCAATGTGCATCCACATACCTGCTGCCCTTTCACAGGAAATGGGTGAAGTGGTTTCTTGAAGAAGTCGTGAAGTGATGAAAGGTCTGGAATCCACTTTAGAACAATACCTATGTAATCCAGTGGGCCTTGAGCAGCACCCTTGAGGGCAGTCCCTGAAGGGGACTGTCTTCACCTGTACTGGATGCAGGTGGGGATTTTGGCTACCCAGCCCCAAATTTTATTCAGTCTTTATTATGCTCCATAGGAATGACTTTATAAATGGAGCCATGGAGCAAAAGGTGAAAGGAAACAGTTCTTTTATCATTACATAAATAAGGAAAAGGAAGGATGTTCATCTTTTGTAGAAACATATTTTTCATTCCTTGATAACTTTGGAGTTACATATTGCTGTGTGGGCCTTCTCCAGAGTCATAGTCAGAAAGTCCAGATGCTCTTTTTTTTTTTTTCCTTTTTCTTTTTTCCTTCTGTTTTATCCATTCCTAAGTTCTGTGGTGCAAAAACAAGTGTGGCACAGATGCTGTGACAATATACATCTAAGGTTTTTAAACCTGTGCTATAGTTCAGCACTTTCAAAAGGAGTACAGACTAGTAGAAATATAATGAGTCACACAGGTAGTTTTAAATGTCTCGGTAGCCATGTTAAAGTATAAACAGATGAAGCTAATTTTAATAATGTATTTTCTTTAACACCATACATCCAAAGTAGTGTCATTTCAGTATATAATCAAAACACTATAATTTCTGTGTACAATCAACATGAAAGGTACAGATATTTTTACATTTATTTTTTGCTTAAAACCCCTCTTAGTTGCACAAGCGTATTTCAGGTGCTCATGAACCACCTAGCTAGCACTACCTTATTGAATGGCATAGTTCTAAAGCCAGTTATTAGTTCTGGTGGCTCCACACTCATGTTTGGGAAACATTTTTTTATATTCTGGGACTTCTTATAGCCTATATTGTGCTACTTTTCACAGGGACTCTAGTTAGTGGGCAAGTCGTACTTTTAGAACTATTTGGGGTCCAGCCTTTAATTAAGCACAGTGCCCTACCCAGTTCTTAGCTCCCCTGCACAGGAGCATTACTGAACCAAGCTTCCAGAGAACCCTTTGGGAAATGTCTAGGGATCTCCTTCCCCTGCCCCTCCCTTCTCTCACCCCTTGTGAACTAAAACCTGGAGATACTCCCCTCTCTCTCACCCAACCCTCCTTCAAAGTTTGCCCTAGGACAGCACACTGTTGGGGCCTCTTCTGTCGTGCTGGAAAGGCATTAAGTTGTCCTGGGGCTTATCAGCCCATCTAGATTTCTTGATTGCCAGCTGGCTACCCAACCATCTGAAATCAGTTCCAGCCCAGTATGGATTGGGGCGCCTCAGAGGGGAGTGGGAGGATGGTAATGTCTTTAAGAGAAAGCACACTCGTGGTCCAGAGCTTGTGCAGACGTGAAGAGGAGGATTGCAGCCCATGGTAGAAGGCAGTGCAAACTTCTTTCTGGACAAGCCTATTCTATTGACTTTTTTCACTGATCACAGAGGAAGTGATTCATCCTTTAAGATGTACCAGCATCCTCTCCTTTATATTTCTATTTGGATGTGATACAAGAAAAAGTAAGTGACTTTGGGGGAAATGCACTCAATTCAGCAGCTAGCAAGGGTGTGGGCACCTCTGTATAGGGAATAAGTTAGTCAACCCTGAATAGGTTACATCTTTTTGGTTCCAAAGCCAAAAAAATTCCGTGTGCTAAAACTTTATTTACCTCATCTTCCCTTCCTCTCCCTACTGAGGGAGGGAAAAGCAAACAAAAACAATGAAAATGAAAAGTAGGGTCTTTTATGATGTTTATCCAATTCAGGCAACCCAAACTTGGAGCAATTGGCTCCTGAAAATATTAATAGTAGGATAAGGTTAGAGCACCACTTAAAACCCTTTTTAAGTGGGGAATTGCTGCTTAATAAAGAACAAAATTGTGGTTGAAATTGTTGTTTCTAAACCTGCCTCCTCAAAGCCCTAAAGACTGTCCTCTGAGGAGTGTGGGGCGCTTGTTTCCATTCCCCTTGACAGCTTTTAGGTGATACTCTGAGCTCAACCCCTTGTCCCGTCCCAGGGATCAGATCTGTTTTCCCTTTGCCTCTCTTCCATCCTGACACACCACTTTTAAAAAGCTGCCATTTCTCTTGCTGGACAGTTTTGGATGCTAGACCTGGTGACTTATTCTTTACTTTCAGTAAGTGTTTTCTTACTTACCCCCAGACCAGGGCTGTCTGGGGTTGGGCTCAGATGTTGGTATTTTGAAAAAGCTCCTGAGAGGATGCTGGTACATGGGAAGGGGTGGGATCCCCTAGAAGCTAAGTAAGCCCAGTCCAGCCTCACATCTTCCTATGGACCCCTTTAGCTGCAAAGCTCACTCTTAACTCCCTGCTTTAGAATCTTCCTCACAACTCAGCCTGCATCTGTGCTCCTTC